CTTGGATTTTTGACATCCATACTTAGCCTAACAATTTAAAAAAATAAATAGAAATGACACATCTGATGCAAGGTAGTATGATAATTTGACTGGACTATTAAGGCGCGTTGTAAAAATTATGGATGCGTGAAGATCTCGAGGATCGTTCGGTATTCAGTTGTATCGGATTTTTTTATCAAAAATTCGTTATTCGTTATGCAATTCGAAATGAATATCAGTTTATGACAACTGTCAATAATTTTTTTTGTAAAATTTATTCACTGAGGAAAAAGTATTTATAATAAACGACGGCGGAAATAGTTACTGTACTGTTTTCCATGCATTTTAAAGAGCGTCCCACTCCGCCTGTGTCCATTCTTTAGAAAATTTGCATGCTGAACATGATTTTGGCAATTGGAGTTATTGCCGAATTTTGGATAAGATAATGAAATATAAAAACATTACTTAGTTGTTTTAAATTTCCTATCAAAAACAAACCCCGAATCACGGCAAGGAAAATAAATTGTGGAAATTCTGTTATTGACGTGACGGGCTAGACGATGAAGAATTAAAATATAAAATCGTTTGTGAATATCACTTTAATTCATGTGATATTTACAAAAGCGGCGATCGAAAGTTATTGAGAATCAATTCAGTTCCTTTGCCCTACTCAAAACAAGGTAACCATGTTATTTTTTGTCGTTAAAATGACTGAAACATTTTTTCAAGATTTAAATTACACAGAAGATGCCCTTCAAAGAAACGAGAAATATTCCACCCCATTCAAACATATTTGCGAAAACCCCAATTCAACCACAAATTCGACTTTATGTATCTACCTCGGTATCTACAGAAATTTTGAAAATACCATCACTACAAAAATTACCTAGAAATAATATTACATACAAGTTGAAAACCTAAATACGAAAAACGTTCAAACTCATAGAATGAAAACTAAAACATCTCACTTCTCAACAGGTTAGTCAATTAAATTTTTTGCATAGGTAGTTATCAAATTACCGGGCTTTTCAAATCAAAAAATCGTATGGAAACTGGTACTTTTGTTCACGATTTTCTATGAACAGTTGCATTAAATTTTGACACAAAATAGCGATTGTCAATGATATTATTCAGTTATGAGTTATCGTGCACACGATCAGACGAACAGACAGACGGAGAGACAGACAGCAATACAAAATTATAGGTAAACAATCTCGAGGATCGTTAATAATGAGAAATACAACTGAAAATGAACTAATTCGTATATCATTAGATCATCATTAGATATCATTAGATATTCGATTGGTGTCATTATAAACCCGCTAAGACCTAAATTATCATGGGAGAGCAACGATCTGCAAAAAACTTTTTTCCCATGTTAATTGCCAATGTTCGTTCGTTTTTGAAATATTTTTACTTTATGCCCGTGTATATAATAATTTTGAGGTACTTTTAGCAGAGTAGTGCAGCAGCTGCGCTCAGAAAATCGTACCTTCCAGCGTGTCTACCGAGACCTTAGCAACATCACGCGATCGGTAGACCAATTTTTTTTGGTTTCTTATGACATCAACTTCTTCCAACAAAAATTTCATCTTTGTAGAAATAAGTTCAATTGTATAATTTTTTATGCATCTTACGTGGGTGGTAGACTTGTGATAGCAACGCTTCCAGCTCGGTAGACTATTACCATACTTCATTTTTAGGTGTACTTCGAGGTGTACTTAATTACTGTAGAAACTTTCATTCTTGTAGAAATGAGGCATGTACATATTATTTATTAACATGTTCAGAACATTGTTGCAAACTTAGGCAACACCGCCGACGCGGTAAACTACCGTTTTGTTTACTTGTACTATCAAAACAATAAAATGCAGAATATCAGCTTTGAGGAAATGAGTGCACAAAAAATGGCGCTGCCTCCTGGACTATAGGGCATCTGTAATTTTTACTCGAATTTTTATGGAAAACAAAAGCTCAGATGAAATCGTATCAAAACTTCTGATGAAAAACGCTCTCAGAAGTGTATTCCCGAATGTATTCCTCTGTGACTACTGTGAATACCTCGGTGGATACCCACGATGATATTTTTTCACTGAAACAGTTGATTACCCTTGTAAAATTACGGGATAAAAAATCGAGGGAGTAGTAGTGTCTGTTAGGGATTTGTACTATTTGCACTAACTCTAAAAAATCGTTTGCCCAAAAAAATTTATATGTCTGTCAGGTTTATTTCTTAAGTTTGTGTATAGGATAGTACTTTTCGAGGTAATGCCAAACGCACTTTTTGTATTGATTCCATCTGAAATAAATAATATTAAGCAATCAATTAAGGCAAGCCTGACGATGGTAATAAATCGAAATCGATAGCTCATAGAAAAATAAATAAATTATATATTAGTTAACACCGCAAGGTAACCTTTTTTGTCAATAGTACAACTAATCTAATATATAAACAATGGAAATTTTCACCAAACACACTTTTTATATCTAGCGAAACAGCACTTTTATTTGATATGGCTTCGGCAATCCTGTTTGCAGGAGAACAAGATTGTCTAACGTGGAGCGATTTGATCTAAAAACTAACTGTGCCTGATATAAGATATTGAATTTTTCTAGATACCAAATAATACTTCGAATAATACCGGGTGATCGAAAAAAACTGCAGACAATTTAAATTTGTAGTGTTTTTTACTTAAGGAATTGGCAAACATGTTTAGAAGTTGGTTTATTTATGCATTAATTGCCATCCATTGGCGTAGTTTTTTATGTGAATTTTATTTTCTAATTTCGTACTGTGATCCAGGCGTTTCAAAGCAAGCAGCTCTTTTTAAAAAGGTCTTCGCACGTGCATCATTTCGTAAAGGTACGTACATTAAGAGAACATACTTTATAAGGATCATGTAACCTTACTTTTTAGGCATAAAGGCTTTAAAGGGGATGCACTTTTGTCTTTTGATGAAAGGCGTACATGTTTAAAAGATGCTCATATTCGAGTCAGTTGTGCTTACTGCAATTCAACGACAAATGTGCTACTTACCGAAGGTGTAAAAAAAACGTAGCCCTAAGAAATCGTTTTCGAAAATTCGAATGAAGCTGGTGAGTATAACAATGTGAACGATAACATCCCTATTTGTTATTTTTACAGACTTATCACAGAATATGTGGCACAAAATCTTACACATTGATATCGGAATGTTTTCATCCAGTGTTGATGACGTTAATTTATGAGAATAAGTGGATACGTCTTATTGTATGTAGGCGAATGAAATGAACCTTACGGTGATGGTTTAATTAGCATGACTATTGCTCGGGAATAGATATTTGAATACATGAACCCGAGCGTGCAAATGAGCTTGATAAATTAATTTTTTTTAAATTAATTAATTGTGATTATTGTTTAGTGATCCATTAAATTGATCCACCACTGCTTTTAAATAAATGACATTTAGTATGTTACCAACTTTATAAATGTTTAGTTTTGCGGGAAATTCAAACTGTCCGCACTACTTTCCGATCACCCAGTATAATATTGTTTACCATCTTTTGTAAGAGTTTACATAACGTGCACGTGAAAGATATTGGTCTAAAAGAGTCTGGCAGGGAAGATTTGCTACTCGATTTGCTATCAGTTTTATTAATAGGGAGTAGAACGGATGTGGAAAATGTAAAAAATTAAGGCGATAAGCTGGTGGAAGTGATTAATCAGATCGTTGCCTAGATTTCGGCAACACTTTTTTTAGATTGCTGATGGGATGTGTGCGGTAGTCATCTGTAGCATATTCTTCATCACTTAATTCAGGCGTTCCCCAGGGAACAATTCTTGGTCCTTTTCTGTTTCTCTTATACATAAATGATTTACCGCGAGTGATAAAAACTCGAAAGCACTACTATTTGCGGATGACCTAAAACTTTTTAATAAAGTCCAATCCGCAAGTGACTGTTTAAATATTCAAGAGGACATTAACTCAGTAATTAAGTGGTGTATCAAAAATAAACTAAAACTAAATATCAATAAGTGTAAAGTCCTTACTGTTACTAGATCGAAAAATCCCTTACTTTTTGACTATAAGATGAATGGAAAGGTCTTACTAAGAGTCACCTCCGTTAAGGACCTGGGCGTGTTTTTCAATACCAACCTGAACTTCAACTTACACATTGAATACCTAACAAATGAGTGTTACAAACTTCTTGGTTTCGTTATCAGAAATACACTCAATTTCACGAATATACAGACAATGCTAACCTTATATAATGCGTTTATTCGATCCAAGCTTGAGTATGCTGCATGTATCTGGTCTCCTCAAACTGTCAAATACTCAGACATGATCGAAAAAGTGCAGAAAAAGTTCATCCGAGTAATGTTTTTTAAGTCCACCCTCAATTATCCACATTTGATCTCTTACGGTACCCAGCTTAATCACTTAAATAGAACTTTCGGCTCAAATATAACGAGGTTAGAAACCCGACGGTACATTGCCTCCACAATTTTTGTCTTCAAAATTTTACACAATTTGTTAAACTCTTCCGAATTACTTCATGAAATTAAGCTTAAGGTGCCTACCATTTGTTAAGCTAAGGCCGAGGCTAAGGCAAAATAATACTATTTTGAATGATTAGCTGATGAGAATAATTAATATGACATTGAATAATAGCGAAAGCTTGGACGACATGCCGTATAGAAATCAAATTAAATCGTCGTATCGTGCAGGAGAGCCTATTAATAAAAGAATGAAAATACACGTATCATTTTCTGGCACATTAAAATTGAGTAATAACAGGGATCAAATTGTTTATTAACGGAGGCTGCTGGATCCATTATTTCGCGATTTTTCAATCCGCACACAGAGAAAGATGATGTTTACATTAATCAAAGCGGCCGCATTATTTTACCGTTTAGTGTAAGTTTCGTTTCATCGTTCCGTCTTTCTTTCGAGATTTTTATAGTAGGCAGCAAGCCAGCATGCGGTCGCTGCCGAAGAGCCATGTGCTTAGCCTTACCGTCATTGATCACATGCGATCTCGGTTAACTTACGGTATCTTCGCGCACTAGTCATGTAAATTTGTGCGATTTTGTGTAATTTCGTCATGGAACGCCCCGTTTCTGATCTGAGTTGGGGATGGTGATGTGCAGTGTGAAGTATGGTGGTTGTGACTTCGACTGAAACACGCATTCCTGTTACGTACCATTTGAATATTTTAAGAGGCAGGTTAGTTTCTAACACACGACACAAATAAGTGGGCGAATTATAAATTGTGAAGGTTGTCAAACTCCTTTCTAGAGGCAGATCCTCACAAACTAAATTTAATCTCCCAATTACCTTCAAAGGCATTTGCAACAAATTGCATTTAAGTATACGTGCGATTCCTTCATCTACGTACCGTTAGTTTCTAGTGTTTTCTTTAAAAGTTGTAAATTTTTATGCTCTTGAAACAATGTGTGCGTTTTAAAATCACGTTAGGTATTATAATTATTAGTCCAGAGTTGAACGCGTCCCCAATTTGCTGTTAAACAACCAACATCAAATTGTTTTTGTTTAATAAACGGAACCGGAAAAGAGGAATTCGTCACTAAGTGCTCTTTTTTGTCCAACAATAAAAATGTAATAGCCTCCTAATGGACTACGGCGCGTTTTCAACATTTTATTTCACGGTTTGTCAGTGGTGCCTTAGGCCGTATATGGACCTCAGAAGTAACCTCTATTAGTTTTAATTAGAAAATTAGCCCGTCGGGTATTCAGATTGGAATGACTGAATGAGCACAAAATTAACTACTACAGATGATGAATTAGTCATATATTTCGGCTATATATTGACTGAATTGCCGATGGGGTATTGCATAAATATGCAAACTCTGTAAGAACTACGAAACGGTTGTTGTTCTAATAAATGTCCTCCCATTTACATTACGTTTCAGCGTTTATACATTCTGGGAAATCAATAGTAAAGATTCTATTCCAAGTGGGGTGGAAACTGAGCAGGATAAATTAGTTTTAAGCGGTTTTCCAAAACGTTCAACAGTTCCAAACGTTTTTACACGTTTTGAGCAGTTTCCATTTTCCCACACATTTTGTGTCAATCTTTAAATTTATTCACACTCACATTCATTCAAGTAGTCAGATTCGAGCTTTTAGTCTTTGTGCTTGAAATGGCAAGCACTGACACGTTAAAGGCAAAAATTTAAGGATCCCTTCAAATATCAATTTCAAGCTCAAAACTTACCGAATCATTTATATTAAGTTTCCCATTTCATGTATCAAAAATGTAAAGGTCCAGCTGTTTTTCAACAGTCTCAAACGTCGGTCTTTAAATTGTTAAAACTTGAATTGTCAATACTTATTAAAGCCTCAACCTTCAAGTATCAAACATTTGTCATTTAGATTCAAGTGATTCCAATGTAGCTTTTAAATGTCAAAGTTTCAGACATGAAGCTATGAATTTCAGGTGCCAAACGTCAAAGTTAATTCAATTTTTTTCGTACATGAAGTGCTTCACTTGTCAAACTCTAACTTATTTCATGAACGATTTACGATTCATGTCTTAATCTTAAATCATTACCAAATACACGGTGTCCATTTTTCGAGTGCCACTATGGGGAACTCACTTATCTTAAGAGATAGAAAGTTGGTTAAATGGGTGCAAAGTTGCCAATTTTTGTGCTGAATAAGAATCTGAAAAGACATTTCAAATATCTTCAATAGTTTTGAAGATATCTCAAAAAAACAAAAATTTCTGATTTACGTTTTTATTTTTTTTATGATAAACTAATCGTAGTAGACATTTCTAATTAACACATTATTCTATGGAACGCCGTTTTACTTTTTATTACGAAAGTTTACAATGTAACATTATAAACAACAGTTAATTTTATTTCCCGATTTATTATGTTTGTTGTTTTTATGTGAAACATTAAATATGTTTAAAAAACTTCACTTAATTGAAATGATGTATGAATTATATAGCAATGTGTATAACGAAAGTTTAACAATACAAATCAACAAACGAATACATAAACGAACAATAATATAACTAACTAGAACTAATTCAACAAAAATTTATTCATATTAAATGTGGGATTAAAATTATGAACAAACATTTTAATTCAACAATCATATTAATTCAACAATCATTTTAAAAGATTCTTTTACTACGTCTAACAATAAAAATTTATTTGTTTGTTGAATTAAAGTGATTGTTGAAAATATTCGGCTTCAATTTTCAAATCGTCGAATTTATATGACTGATGAATTAAAATGTTTGTTGATAATTTTAATTCCACATTTAAAATGAATGAATTTTTATGTTTGTTGGACAAAATCGTTTTATTAATCGAAGTATTTCTTGCAATTCAATTTAATTGTTTGTTGAAATACAATTTCATATACACTCATTCAATATAACAATATAATTCATTTCACATTTTTATTAAGTAACATTTTTTAAACAATCATATTTAATACGTAAGACAATAACAACAAACGTAAAAAGTAGAGGCATACGATTGACTGTTATTTAAAATGGCACATTGTAAAATTTTGGAATAAAATTGTACAAATATTTTCAGAGAACATTTTAATTCAACAATCATATGAATTCATGCTGTTAAAATCGGCAAGAATTATTTAAAGTGATTGTTGAATTAAAATGTTACATTAATTAAAATGATTGTTGATAATTTTAATTCGTATCTCTGATTGTGCGGAAGTTTCAGGAACTACAGTTTAGTCTATTTGACTACGTGTATACTAGCGCCTAATTAAAATTATCAACAAACATTTTAATTCATGTATCATCTTTATTAATCAACATTTTTTTAATCAATCTCTTAATACGTAAGATAAAAACAACAAACTAAAAATTTTAGAGACATAAGATTGACTGTTATTTAAAATGATACATGATAAAATGTTGGTATAAATACTAAAACGGCGTTCCATATTATTCGGACACTTTTTAATGGAGATTTCAAATATGGCATCTTGTTTTTAATAACTCTCCAGATGACGGAGAAACACGTGGAAACTTTCGTTTTTCTTATGGGCGCCATTTTGAATTTTCACATTTTGAGATTACGTCTTCTTTTCTCTTTACAACGATATATCACACATGGTGGTTCAGTATCACATTTTTCCTAAAAATACAATTTTTAATTTTTTGAGAAGAGTGCTTTGGAAAAACAAAACGTTCTTCTCAAAAAATGAAAAATTGTATTTTTAGGAAAAATGTGATACTGAACCACTATGTGATACCTATATCGTTGTAAAGAGAAAAAAAGACGTAATCCCAAAATGTCACAATTCAATATGGCGCCCATAAGAAAAACTAAAGTTGCCACGTGTTTATCCGTCATCTTCAACGTAATTAAAAACAGGATGCCATATTTGAAATCTCCATTAAAAAGTGTTCGAATAATGTGTTAATTAGAAATGTCTACTACGACTAGTTTATCATAAAAAAATTAAAAACGAAAATCAGAAATTCGTTTTTTTGTGATATCTTCAAAACTATTGAAGATATTTCAAATTTTTTTTCAGATTCTTATTCGGCACGATAATTGGCAACTTTGCCCCCATTTAACCAACTTTCTATCTCTTAAGATAAGTGAGATCCCCATAGTGGCACTTTTGCCAGTTTTGCCCAAGCATCCATTGTATCAAAAATGAACTCTTGAAATGTTTGCGAAATTAATGGAACGAATAAAATTTGGATGAAAACCGTGAAATCATGGAGAATTGGAATTTTGTGAAAATTTGCATAATATTACAATTTAGTTACATTAAAATACTAGGCGGACAAAATTGATTTCTCGTGGTGAGATAGAGGATATGAGAATTTCTTAACTTATTTTACAAACACAAGACATATATATTTACATATAGAAAGCCGTCAAATTTGAATTATAAATTGACATTGCTCAACGTGAAAATGTGACCCCTACTTTTGAGTAACGATTACAACCCCCAATTTTTTTTTTAATGGGAAGTATGGGCTTGTTCGTTTAACTTTAAAAGACCTCTTTATTCTCTATCCAAAAATGTTAAATTTATTGCAAAAGTTCACAAAAAAACAATAAAATCAAAAGGGTTTTAGTTTCATGGAATTTCAGTATAGTGAGGATTTATTGCGTATAATGAACAGATAGAAAATCAATGAACCGGTTGAAAAAAGTGAAATAAATTATTATTAACAAGAAATACATTGGATTTATTATTCGACAAGAAGTGAAATGGATTACATAACTAGATTGTTATCGCGATCAATGAAAAACTATGATGTAAGTATCATTAATTACAATTACTAACACAAACATCAACTTCTGGTAATACTTTCTTTGGTCACTTCCGATAGGAATTGCAGGTATATTTTATGATTAATGATTGAAACATGTAACCGCAGGCGTTGTGGTAATTATTGTGTCGATGAAAGAATATTTAATTGTTTTTATACGTATTAATCTCGGTATTAATTTAGGTACTTATCTTTTGTTTTTAATTTTAATTATTCTTTTACTTTTATGTCTAAGCTAGGTATTTCAAAAGAACACATCAATTTAGCTCAGGGTTAAGCTGAAAATTAAAATTTGGGGTTTTGATGCGTACAGAATGGAAAACACTCGGGCGAAAAGTCCACAAATCCCCTTAAATCCGGATAGAGGTTCATAGTGTATACTGTATACATATAACAAAATATACATATTTTAAAACAGGACGATTTCAGTCTCGGTTTGTAAAGGCGTTTCAATTACTCTTTGACCAACAATAATTTTACTTAACGAATATTCAAAAAAAATTCACTGAAAATTAGCTGAAAATTCGTGTAGATACTTCAGTATATGAATCTGGCATGTCGTAAAAGGGTATGTTTTAGGAAAAAAATCATGTTTCTTGAATCGTACGCCCTCTAGCGGCAAACCTAGAAACTTGAAAATAATTTCCAGGGATTTCTCTTGGCCTCTTTTGTCAACAAATTTTTTTCCCCGTAAGTGTGCAATTAACGATTCCATAGATATGGCATGTTACCTTTATTCTTGGGACCCTGTACAGAAATAATATCGTGCCTTCCTATCCTACCAAGCTTTTTTATAATTACATTTATTTTTCCACCACCTTTTCCTAGGTTCATCAGTTTCCTTTCACAACTCCGTATTTATCCTTCGATGTTGTCTTCTTCCTTCTTCAGTATCCAATTTTCTCTTCAGTTTTGTTCTGTT